TGGAGACACCAAGTCACTGAGCTGAGAGAGAACATCACTCACCCATCTGAGAGGGATGTTGGATGCATCTCCATCTACAAGCTCAAGAGGAAATCCATCAAGCAACAACTCTGCACACAGTTTGGGCAGATGCTGCAGCTGTTGACGTGATGGATCTGTTTGTGGAAGGGACAGTGAGGTTTCATAGATCTGACCCATTTCACGGAAGAAGTGTTCAGTCCCCAGTGAGCTGTTGGAAATCTGTCTGTCAATTTCTTTGATCTCCTCTTTGTTCTCAGAATTGTTGCATTTTTCTTTATATTTTTCCTGAAGTTCAGAAAGTTTTATGCGAGACAGGTTATCGAGGTTCATTCGCATCCATTTCAGGAAATAAAACCTCTCTGTTCCTGGGCGTGATATTGCATTGATGAAACATGTCATAGCTGTTGACATGTCATAAGAGTTCTGCCTTTTCCGCAGTTCTTTTCTGTCTTCCTGAAGTTGACTTTTGTAATCTTCTATATTTCCAGAGCCAACTTTTCGAAGGCGAAATTCTTCCTTCTCTAAGCAGATCAGTTCTTTCCATATTTCTCCTTGCCGAGGAAGGTGATCTTCTTTGTATTTAAGGATGTCTTGAATTTCTGCAGTGATGGCTTCTGCATTTGTCTTTGCAGTCTGGCACTCTGGAGAGTCTTCATCAACCAGGATTCCCAGGTCATGGGCAACGTCTGCCATCTGCTCTATTGTCATCTTCCCTTTCTTTTCTTTAATTACATTTCTAACTTTTTGCCTCAAATATTTTACAAAGTCTGCATCATTTCTTTGTTTTTTCCTAATAATGATATTGTTCTTAGTTAAGCACAAATTAGTTTCTACCTTCTTTAAAGCATCCAAAGTGCAGCGTTTGCTCTCACTGTTACCCACCAAGAAGATCTGTGCCTTGTGGTGTTGGTTAGTAAGTAGACTGCACTCAGAGTCCAAATTGTCAAAGAACACAAAAACTGCTGCAGATGTTTGACACAGAAAGGAGTATTGTGTTTCAAATGAAGCAATGTCCCCATGAAGGTTAGCTACAGCCACTGGTTGACTGAAAATATCAATGTTTGTGTTTCCACAAGGAAGATACCAAGTAATTTCAGTCAGTCCGTTGGATATTCTTCTTGGACTGTCACCACACTCCATGTTGCGATGAACAAAGGTGTCATGGTACTGCTGAGAATTGCTCAGAAGCTTATTGAGAATCTCTGACTTGGACGAGGAGCACTCACCCAGTCTGACAAAAGAGATCATTGGAAGTTCAGACAGAACGATTCTGTCTTCAATGAAGCCCTTGGACTCTGACAGAGACTGAGGTCTGTACTTTTTAACAATGTCTCTCATGGCCCACAGCATGAGTGTGCACTGATTGGTGTCACAATTCGGAAGCAGCAGAGGCACAGAAAACTGACATGTGGACATTTTTAGTGCCATTTCCTGCTGCAGAAAACCATCAGAACACAGAAAGAGAGCAGCGATTATGTCGAGTGGGTTTGGCATGTCATCTGTGTTTGAACTGTCCAAATCCTCTGCATTCCCTGTTTCATCATCAGACTCACAATCTGATGTACATGTCATATTCCTAGCTGCCACATTAACCATCATCAGTTTCTTTAGAAAATACCATGGAAAGTCTGAGTTACTCTTGGCAGGTTCATCGTTGATGGTCGTCTTATCAATCTCAAGTATTTTGCTCAGTGACAGTTTCTTTGTGTAGTACTGTTGTAAACCAAGATCTTTTAGTAAGCACTCCAGGTGTGTCTCTGTGGATAAAAAAAAAATCTGTTATTTCATTGTCATTTTACAACATTTTACATATCCAAAATCAATCTTTTTTATTCAAGATCTTAAATACAATCATTCTCATAGCATTCTATCAAGAAGAGTACAAAGTACTAAGTTACAATTGTGTACACTTCATTTTTTTAATTTGTTTTTTTCTGAAATATATTAACTCACCAGTGACTGCAGCAATGCTGACTCCACTGCTTCTGACGTTCTCAAACACAGAGTAGAGAGTGAATGTGTATTGAGTTCCAGCAGTGAGAGATGAGACTGTGTGAGTTA